CATAGTATCCAACATAAACAGTATCACCCTAGTGATTTTGTTTTACGTTCTTGTTATGTAAATTTAAGTTTATATACTATATACAAAATAAATTCCAAATTATATATATTATATTATATATAAAATTATATATAATATAACCCTCCCATGGGGTACACCTTGTCGTGGTGGGAGGGCTTAGTACTTGGATGGTGTCTTGAGATTTATCTTAAATTTTTCTATTTATGATAAATCTTAAGGTGCTTGAAAGGGAAGCTAAGTACCCTTTCGCGTCGTCGGTGCCGTCAACGTGCCGCGGACGGCAAGCGTTTCGTTACCGCGTTTTCGCGTTGTAGTATTCTCGCGTTGTCGCGTTTTCGCGGAAATTTTGGACTTTTTCATATAAAATCCCAATTTCATTTATTGTCACGAGTCTCTACTTCCGATACCAACTAACTGGGATGTTTCGAGTTTGCACACGTTGTTATGCAATGTACACTCGCGCTTCGTGCTTCGTACTTCGTCAAATGATTCGGCCCGAATTAGTTAGAACTCAATCGATTGCTCGGAATGGTCGTCAATGGGTCCCTTCTCTTTGCTCGTCTACCCTACAGCCACACGCACTGCGTGTGTTAACCCTGTCGAGGAGTCGAGTGGATTCCCCTAAGCATGATTTTCGCTCGGTAAAAGGGGTTGCCTCCCCATTTTTTAAATCGCTGAATGTTAGCATTTAAAAAATGTGGGTATCCTCTTCTTTTGCCGTCTATCAGCCTGGTGTAGCCATATCCTGCATTGCGGGAAACTTCGTGTTCCGGGCGAAGCACCTGAAATCATGCTTAGCGGGTCCAGGTTCGATACGAGATAGGATAATTATGCGCGAAAAAGAGCTGGTGAACTTTATTTTCCTCTATTCCGTCAATCGTTTCGTCTTCTTTCCGGTTCGGGCCTAATCTTTGCTCGTTGTATCGTTGCACTCCCGACCTGTTGGCTCAAAGTTAAGTCTCGTAAATGAAATGAGATTTTCGCTCGTACCGAAACCGGGAGTGTCGGACAAAGTATATATATATTAAATATATACATCGCGCGATCAAATTTTTAATCCGAATACCGAAGTAGTGCGGGAGTGCCGTTTAGTATCGCGCGTAAAATAACGAAAATAGCGATATAAAAATATCGCTCGTGAGTGCGGGAGTGCCGTTGAAAGTATCGCGCGTCAACAACATGAGAGGAGGAGGAGGCCTGGGAGAGGCATCTTGCATCGGCGGAGCAACCTGAAGGTGAATATTTATTATTTGTATATCAATTGTTATAAATCGTACGCATAATAATTTGATCTTATTATTTAAATGAATTAAAGAGAAAATTAGAGAGAAAGATTTTTATAAAAGTTATATAAAACTTTTTAAAAAACTTTCTTAAAAAACAGTTTTAAAATTTTATAAAATTTTTCCACACGTGTTTATCTCTGCTTATTATTTTATACATCGGATATAAAATTTCGCGCGATAAAAATTTTTTGAAATATTGATTGCATTTTATGTGCATTAATATAAATGAATTTTATATTTGTATGTTACAGACAACGTAGCTTCAAATATAACTCCGCTGTTGCGCATCAGTGTCGGTGAGTGAGAAAAACTTTTATTTAACTTTAAGGAAACGGATTCGTAGAGATTGTAGATGTAGATTGTAGATTGTAGATTGTAGATTGTAGATTGTAGAGTAAGTCCGTTGCCTTAAAATGGATGAGCTAGGATAGATTAAATTAAATAACTTTTAATAAATTCTTTCGAAATGCTTTGCATCTATTGCGAAAATATATTGAAGTATTAATTTAAAAAAGAGAATCAAGAAAAGAAAATTTTTTTGTAAAGGCTTGACTAGTTTATTAAATCAAGAGCACGCATTAATAATTTTAACAATTTTATCAATTTTTGATACTACTTTATTCTTATAACGCGCATTTATTTTATTCTAATTTCTTATATCATAGCTCATCCATTATAGAATTTGTTTGTAGATATTGTTTTTAAATTTTACTTTAATTTAAAATAAAGCCAAACGATTAATTAATTAAATAATTTGTAATATCATAAAAGTTATACACACACATGAATTTTATATTTTATTAGAAGATATAGTATATAGAAATTTGTTGTAATTTGGCTTTATTTGAGTTAAAATAAAGTTATATTCAAATATTTAACAAACGATCGTAAAATCGAGCGATCGTTACGATGAGCGTGAAATATTTACGCTCATTTGCCGGTAATTAATCGGCAAAAGAAGGAGTGTTTATCTCCTTTTTCGATCTCTGATTAGAGATCGAGCGAGAAAGTGGCCAGAATCAACGAAAAGTAAGTTCAATTGGCCTGAAAAAAAGCTTTACGTACAATAGTACGTAATGTCCGACATTTATTCACTCGATTAGGACATGCGGTTAGAGAATGTAATTGGGGCACGTAATTTAAAATATACGTGATTAGAGATAGGCTCGAATAATTTCATTTAATCGAGAAATAGGATTGTTAGGGCTATCAGGTGATCATTAAGATTTTTTAATTTTCCTTTCAAAAAGTAAAGGATTGTAGGTGATTAATTTAGCTGATTTTATATTATGTATCTTTTAAAGAATCAGGAAATGTAGGTTTAAATAATATTAGGGAAAACAAATTAATAAATATTTCAATAATTATATTATTAATATTAAGAATTTTTAAGGGATCAATATTTTTTGAGTATTTTCTAAGAGAGTTTTTTTTCCCCACGTAAAAAAAAAAGGATTGTTAATTTATTTTGTATTACATTTCAAATTATATAATATTGTATTTTACATTAACTTTTTGTATTAAATTCTGTAGTGAAAGAAAATGAAAAATTTTGCCTTCTTGATGATATCTCCATCTTAAGGAAGGCATTTGCCGGCTGAAGAGGTTTGAGTATTTTAATGAGCCTGAGAGCTATGCCGGCGGTAACATACACCGATATTCGTATAGACTTTTCTTATATTCAAGATAATTTTAAGTATGATCTTAAATATAAAAGTGAGTAATGAATACCGATCGTAGTTATTGATAGCGTCATCTATCTCGGACATGTCGAAGGGGAAATGTCAGACTAAGAGAAATACCAAAATTATATAAATATTTGTTATATTAATTATATTAATATTTTTAAATAAAATGAAAGAAAAACGGAATAATCGAGAAAAAGGCAACTGCAGTGATTTGAATATCTATACCTGAGAACAAATAGAAAGTATTTCGATGGACTCCATAGGAAGGAATAAGCATGACACAAATGATGATAATTTTTATAATTTTAACACAAAAGAATAGAATAAACCATAATAATCCAAGAACTCGAAGAAGAGGAGATTTCTATTGGATAGAAATGCATAATGATTGAAAATAATTAGAAACTAAAAGACAGTGTGCAATCTATTTATTAATAATAATACTATTTTGTAATATTTTGTATATTAAATTTTATAATTTAGTACATTATATTATATAAAATATTAAGCATAAAAATATTATGCTGGTAAGAAAATTATAATAAAAGTATATAAATAATGTTGACTATATTAGAATAGAACATATAAATTCTTTATATTTTATATAAAGGAAGAGATATTTAAAATATTTTGCAACATCTATATTTTTCGAATATATATATATATATATATATATATATATATATATATATATTTCTAAACATAACGCAAATATTTCAGAATAAAGTTGTAGCGTCATACTATATATACATATATATTATATATGTGTGTGTGTGTTTATTTGTGTATGTGTGTAGAGAGAGAGAGAGAGAGAGAGAGAGAGAGAGGACCACAAAATTTATTTAAAAAATTAAAATTAAAAATTTATTTATATTTATATACATATGCGTTTTGCTAAAATTCAGAAGAATCAGTGATTAATTTGACAAATTCTATACATATGTTAATAATTAACTTTCTAAATAATTAAAAAAATGATTGATAGATATCAAAGATCAGTTTATTGCTAAGAATTAAGAAGATTTATATAAATACGGTTAAAAATGTTTTTATCCCACAGCAGGCATTTTGTGTAAATAAAAGTATATAAATATATGACAATGAATATAGAAAAATATTTATTATTTCATCTTTGAACATTACATTGGAAGATTACAGTATCTTTCGCGATTGAATAATTTATTTACTATCAATTTATATACATAAGTGTCTTGTTATACTCTGATGCTACCGGCATTTCGTGCACATTGTTATTCTCTGAGATCATTCATGAACATTGGCTTTGTGGTTCATGTTCACGTTTTCAATGTCTATAGAGGGAGTATCGCTTTCAGGGATCACCTAAAAGCAGGCCAAGACATCTCTCAGTCTTCTCTCTGCCAGGGACCACCTAAAAACGGATCGAAATTAAGTTAGCGCTGGAAGTTCATATTTTTTAATAAACTACAAGTAGCTCAAACGATTGCTCCTTAATTGCTCCGTCCGAATCTACAATTGCTCCCCTTCTAAAATTAAGTTTTTTTTAATATTTGCAAAAGAAATGTAAAATTTTTCCTGAAAAACATATTTCTAATTGTTTTCGACAATTATATTTAGTATAAAACGATTGCTCTCTAATTGCTCCCTATTGTTCCATCATTAATTGAACGATTATTACATTATTTTATCGAAAATTAATAAATAAATCATTTCACAATAAGTTTAGGGAAGCAATATTTGATGCGAGTATTGCCAAACGTCATGCTGAATGGATGAAGCATGTAAATCGTAAAAATAATTATTTATATTTAATATTTTAATAAAATAAAATTTATTACTATAATTTAATTATTGTTATTTATAATATTAATATTATTAACATTTAAGTAAAATTTATTATTATAATTTATATAATATTTCTTATTTTACTTATATATATAATATTCATTATTATAATTTATAATATTTATTATTAAATATCATTTATATTCAAAATAAAGTAATTAAAATTTGAATATGAGCGGGAGTTGCATAAAAATAGCGGACCAATCAAAAGTGGCTCCCTGATGGTCAGACTCTTATTACACGTGACTAAAAATAAAGATACCAATTCGTCATTTTTTGATCACGTGATGTCACGTCGAGAGTCACATGAAAACCTACCCTAAATCTAGTGAATTTAGGTTTGAGAAGCAACAAGCACAACAAATCTCTCCCTCCGCCTAAATTCAAAAACAGACGATTTGTATGAAGGTGTCAGTTGATAACTGGTATGTTTTGATCATATTCATAATTGAAAAAGAATAAATAAATAAATATATATATAAATATATTTATTTATTTGATGTTTATCTGATGATATATATATATCACAGTCATTATAGTAAATAATTTATCTTTTATTAACAAATTTCTGTAAATTTCATTCAGTCCACAATAATGGAGCTCGACGAGTTGGAACAATCTGTAAAGAGCCTAAATGCGGCGCTCAACAAGTTCCCGATCGGTGCAATTTCGTTGAACGATTTCAAACCAGTCGAGGAGAGGATCCAGACGGCCAGGGAGTCTCTGATGCATTTGAATGCAAGATTATTAATGCTTCAAGCAAAGTATAAACGTATGTCATTAATGCTGTGCGCAGCACAGAATTGATGATGACATGAATTTCACTCTGAAATCTTTGAATTACAGAGTACACAAGTGATGAACGAAGACGAAAGGAGGGAGAATCTTCATCTGTTGGAGATACCTTGCAGAATGTTACAAGTGACACCCTGATAAATACTAAGGCCATTAAGTTATGTCTTCATAGTACCACTATTCTTTCTATTCTCAGTAATAAGGAAGGCGATGCGAAAGACCAAGAGTAAGAAATATTTATATAAATGTCGTTACCTACAATCAAATCGATATTAGATACCAAAGTACAGATATGCAAACAAATTGCAATTCTCTTTGTTCCAGAAAACTTTATACTTATATGAGGAAGTTATTCACTCTCAATGACAATATTATGGCTATTCAAGAGGCCATTGAAAGAGAATCTCGTCTACAGTTAGACTTAAAAGTAGAATGTCAGAAGGCATTATTTGATTACAAAAATTTTTTAAAAGAACAGGAACAAATACGAAGCGAGAAATTACAAGAAACAAACCCTGAAATTGTAGCGTGAGTAAAGTTGCAAATATCACAATATTATTATAATCGTAATATCACAATATTAATTCTCTTATTGCGTCATAATTCGCACAACTGAAATCTTTTTCAGAAATAAAAAGAAAATGGAAAGAACTTTACGAAAGATAAATATAATGAAGAAACTCATTAGAAATTTTATAGCGGCAAGCAAACATATGCTAATGAAGGAGCCTATATTGTTAGAAATGTTGGAGAATCATAGAGAACTAATAAATGTCGAGACGATACTCAAAATGTCCCAAAATAATGAAGATGGTGAAGATACATAACAGAGGTAGATAGAGAAAGATAGAGAATGAAAGAAATCTCAAAGATAAAATACGCAAGAATTCATTATGAACTTTTTTCTCTTTTCTTACTTGCTAAGCGCAATAGACACAACACATATTTACAAGAATAAGCTTCACGCAAATTTCAATCTTTCTTTTTTTTTTCCCCTTTTTTCAAGTTCTTTCTCTATTAAAGTATCTTGTCAGACGATGATTTGTATAAGTCAATTATTAAATAAAGCATAATTGGTATTGTATATAAGTTAAAAATTAAGATAATCACAGCTTACGTATATATAGTAAAATTTTCATTATAGGGGGAGAGAGATGTACATATTCATATCTTCTGAAATCGATATAGTTGAGAAACTTTCGCGTACATGTTATATATATATATATATATATATATATATATATATATATATATATAATTTACGTATTATACATATATAATATTAACCATCACGTGCGATAAAATGCAAATATGAGACAATCAATTTTTCTTTTTATTTTTCATGGTCCGGTATGTATATCGTTCAGTCTCATTATATATATATTTTTTCCATTTTTTATGTAAACCACTCTCCTTATTCACAATCATACACATACATGCATATATATGTGTATATGATGTATGTATGTATGCGAACACACATAATTTTCGCAGTATAATAGATACTAATATAAAACAATTTTCATCACTATATACACAAGATGGATCAGTTCAAACGAGTGGAAAGAAAACGAATCTATTTGAAGGAAGCTGCATCGAATTTTATCAAAAAATATTGAATGGGGTTTTATGCTATCTAGCAAAATTGAAAGGAAACAATCTCATAGAATGTATGGAATATTATTTCTATAAAAAAAGGTATTTATACAAATAACGTAATTTCCAGGGTTGGAACTTTTTTTTTTATAACTTAATGGCGTTGCAAATTTTAATTTTAATTATAACAGAAAAAGTAACTTCATTACATTTTTCAATAATAGAGAATGATGAATTTAATAATTACTTTTATTATTTTCTTTTCGAATCTATTTAATATAATTTTTATACAAATATTGATCAAGAGTGTTGAAATATGGCATTGCATATCAATTACTGGAAGCTTTTTTTTTAGTATCTTGCTTCTATTTCGTAAAAAACATTTAATTACACAAATAATTCAATGATTGGACAAGAGTTTGAGATTATGAAAATTATGAGAATATCGTGTCAGGATTTTAAAATTGCACAAGAAAAATATATAAAAAAGGCAATTTTAATGATATTTATGAATCTATTTAAAGAAAACTAATTGTAAGATAACTCTCTCTTCTTGATATATTAGCATTGAAAAATATTAGAAATCTTTTTCCAACTTTTTTAAAGCTTTTTTTTATTCAAAATTAATTGTTACCGAAATTATTATAATTTATATCACACGATATTACACTATTAAAAAATTATATCGCTGTTATATTTTAATATAAAATAATGTTTAAATTTTGAACTTAAAGAAAAATAATAGAAATTAACGACTCGCTGCTATTCGAGTAACGAGCAAACGGTAACGAATTATCTTTCAGAAAAAGAAACGATAATAATGACGAATAGTTAACTTTATACAGTAACTTGTTATCGTTCCTCTCCCAACCCTGATAATTTCGTTCTCATTTCATTAGCTTCCTCCTAAAGAACACATCCATTTCTCAGTGGCATTATCCCAGTTACATAATAATAAGAAAATGATCACGATAAGGATACTAGTGTCACACTGATAATAATATCATACTGAAAAAATTACGTTATAATCTCTACATGTAGACACAAATTGAAGTAAAGATACGCTTTGCATTGTACATTAATTTTCTATTTTTTTTTTTGAGTTCTTATTTCGATTTTTCACTTCGTTTCTCCTCGTGTGTTCCTTGCACATTGCAAAAATGATACCTCACAGACGCACGCACACACGATCGCTTTATACTGTCTGATTTTGCGTCACTTGCCTCGTAAATAAAAAAATTCGTGTACTCTATAATAAAATATGAAACGCACACATGCACGCATACACAACACAGGCGTACTATGACAAATGCACGTGATCTGCCAATTTCATAAAAACGGCGATTTATTATGATCATTAGCAATTATAGCAATTTTATTCTTCAACAATTCGTCCATTAAAACAATACGAACATATAGTAGGTCAAAAATGCGTATAAGCCTCACTATGCGCTTAAGTCATCTGACTTTCTCCATACGAGACTATATATAGTGCTGGATTATAACTTAATCTCACGTGTTTCATCGAGACGGTGGTTCTCTGCAACATTGTCGTAAATCGACGATATCGACATATATAACTAAACGATCACAACACACGAGGGAAAACGCGTTATCTAATTTCTTTTCCTCAAGTTACACTTTACAGAATATTTTAGTAGTTACGCAGCCTCATAGATACGTACAATCACGGTACCGATATATAATCAATATATCATCGTCGTTTGAGCCGATGAGCCGGGGAATGAAAGATACAAGGATACATCCTAGCAAACACCAAGTAACATTTATGTAATTGTTAGTTATAATTTCCCCACTCAACGATACAACTGTTGTTACATATTATGTAACTATTACATACATAGAAAAAAAAAGGACATTCTTCTTTTGAAAATATATTTAGTTTTAACATGGAAATCTTGAAATGAGATTATATTACGTTAATTAAAGAAAAATGTAATTGCTTGAATAATTGCTTACTTGAATGAAGCCATTTTATATACTCAGGTAGAACATGAAACTCATAATGACATCATTATGATTTTATTATTATGACGTCATCATGATTTTATTTATCATTTAAAAGTTACCTAAACAAAAATGATTAAAAAATGAGTTAAAGATGACAAAAGGAATAATAAATTTTTAAGTTCAATAATCGCATTATATAATTTTTAAAAAATTATGTTGCTTAAATATAATTAAAATATACATAATAATTAAATAAACAAGTAATTGCGTAATATATATAAAAAATGATATTATGATTGAGTGTTAAGATTTCATACGCGAAATATATATATATTCTCCAACAGTTCGCTAGAATTGTTTTATATTAAAAAGTCACCAAACATTGTCAAAAGTATATCAAATGAGATCATTATATCATTATTTTTCTAAAATGACTTTTAAGTGACGTCATAATGATTTTAGGTGACTTTTAGGTGACTTTTAGGTAACTTTTAGATAACTTTTAGGACGTCATACATCGTTCTACCTGGGTATATATATTCTCCAACAGAGTTCGCTAGAATTGTTTAATATCAAAAGTCATCAAAACATTGCCAAAAGTATATCAAATGAGATCATTATGATTTCTCTAAAATGACTTTTAAGTGACGTCATAATGATATTATGAGTTTCATGTTCTACCTGGGTAGTTCAATCGAGAAAAATATATTCTTATGATTTAAGATTTAAATTTCTTGAATAGAAAAGATACAATGTTGGATAAAAAATAACATTTTTAAATCAAAGATTATAATTTTCTTAAAGAAGAATTAAATAATTATATATTCTTGACAATTACAATATTAAAATAAGACTATAATATTGTTGAAATTTAAAATTATTAAATCCTTCTAAGAAGATTATAAATTATTGTAAATATATAAATTATAAATATAATTATTGTAAATATATAAATTATAAATATAATTATAAATTATTGTAAATTATAAATTATTATAAATTATATATACGAAACAATAAACGCGTTAGTTTAAGTTTTGATTTGACACTTATTTTTTTCTGTGTAACAACAATGTAATTGAAATTATAACTAACAGTTATATAATTAAAATTTGGTGTTTGCTGGGATCGATTCCTGATCCACACAATCTATTCGCACCGTTTACAAATGAATAAAAGAGGAAAAAAAAGAGAAATATTTCTCGAACGAAGATGATTTGACATTTTACATCACGAGTCGTAATTTCATTCCTACTGACAATCGCTCTTCTCTCTTCAAGGTAATCTGAAGAGAAACGCAAAGGTTCGTGTGTGTGTGTCTGTGTACCGTTTACAACGCCCGAGACGCGAGGACTCTTTTTTTTTTGCTCACAACCATACTTAACCAGCAGTCAGTCGTGTTACATTAATAAAAATCGTGTGACTTCGCCCGCGCGCGCTTTGAAAAATCGGCTAAAAAACTACGGGCTAAACGTCTCGCGCAACAGGATACTTGTTATAATTAACGCCAACAACGCGGATTCCCCGGTGTGGCAGGACAGTGATATAAATATCGGAGACACTCTCTCCCTTTGTCGCGTGGACCTCCTCGCGATCGGATATTACAATTATATAATAGCGCCGCTCGCTATCGGATCGCTCGAATCAACCTTTATTCGCGACGATTCACGAATAAGTAGTCGCGTACGCGATTCAGCGGTCTTATGTACAGTAGAGCATGGTCCCATACAGCACAGAACATGCAGCAATATTGCAGCAATGTTACAATATTGCAGCAATGTTACAATATTGCAGCAATGTTACAATATTTTCAGCAATGTTACAATATTGCTGCAATGTTCTGTGCTGTATGGGATAGTTTTACAACTTACGCGAAACTACGAATCAGCCTCGTCGAAGGGAAAAGGAAAAGCGCTCTCAAGAAATGTCTCTTCTCGACTCGTTCTCTTTCCACGCACGCGAATCGTATACACATGCGGATATCACCCAATCATTCATCAGATCAATCACTCTCTTTCCGCTGATATCGACGATCGTTTGTCAGTCGCAGCTGGCTCACAAAATTAAGGAACGATATCCTCGGTGCGTTCATCAACAGCGGGGAAGATATACAGATAATGAGAGGGAGAGAGAGAGAGAGAGAGAGAAAGAGGGAGGAAATTCACAGAGTATAATCTAGAGATTCTGATCTCTATCTTTTTTTTTTTTTAAGCGTATCACTTTCCAAAGACTGTCCCCGACAGAAGCGGTTCTCTCTCTTCCGTCTTTCATTTCGCTTTAGTCTCGTACACGGGACCGTGTATTACAAATACGGCTCGAGTACGTAACAGCTCCGTAAGTACATGGGTGTCTATCGTCGGACGCGCTTGCTCGGCGAGTATGTAACATGGATACAAAGTGGCGTTACACAATACAACGCGCGTACATCTCTCGGAAGTGGTGTGTACGAAGTCATCGGCCGGACTAGCATAAGTGTGGACCTTTGGACGTAACACAATTTCCTTCGTACTCGTCATTTACCACGTTCCTGCAAAAATAAACAGACACTTGTACCACTTTTGGAGGTGGGAAAAATTGTTCGACGAAAATATTTCTCCTCCCTGAGGAAGAAATAGATTCGCTTACATTCTTTTTTTTATTTATGGAGAAAAATTTCAAAATGCATTCAAACACCGAGTAACATTTATATAACTGTTATTTGGCGTTTGCTAGAATTTTAAAAATGTTACAAATTAACATTGTTGTTACATTGCAGCAATATTGCTGTAATGTTACAATGTAACAATGTTTTGTGCTGTATGGGAGTTTATGAAACTTGCATTTTTTGAGGTGAATTAAATCAATAGAATTTTGCTGAAAGTCGAATTTAAGGATGTTTTGTATGTACAATTCTAGCAAAAAGTAGCTGAAAATCAATATGACGAATATATCCACTTTTAGTGTATTTTGAGTAAGAAATTGTGTGAAATATTACAATTTGAGCTTTGCTACAGTGCAGAGATGTATTTTTAAATATTTATTGCATTTTTACTGAAATATTTCGAATTTTGTTAATCGAAATGATTAACTTTTGGCAGAGAATTTCACCTTGTGACAGATACATGGTTAACTTCATTGAATTATATTTAATATCTTTTTAATCCGTTAGTATTTGTATATTATTTGATCAAATGTTTCCTCTGTATCTAAACACTTTTGCAAATTTTAAACAAATTCTGAATGTTTTGTACCTATTATACCTATTATATATTTATACAATATACCTATTATATATTTGTACAATTTTTAAATCGATTCACTAAAGCGTTCACAAGTTACAAGGATTTTAATTTGCACCGAATTAACATGTGTTCTTATGGGAAACGTATAACCACGTCGATTCAAATGACAAAAACACATGGAAATAATATTCAGAATTTGTTTAAAATTTACAAAAGTTTGGATACAGAAAAAATATTTGATCAAATAATATTATACAAGTATTAACTGGTTAAAAAGATATTAAATATAATTCAATGAGGTTAGCCATGTACCTATCACAAGGCGAAATTCTCTGCTAAAAGTTAATCATTTCGATTAACAAAATTCGAAATATTTCAGTAAAAACGCAATAAATATTTAAAAAATACACCACAAGTGGATATATTCGTCAATATTGATTTTCAGCTATTTTTTGCTGGAATTGTACAAAACATCCTTAAATGATAGATAGTTCAAACATCCTTACTTGCTTGTTTAATCGATATGGCTGACGGGATCCTTTTGCTCTCTCATGCTCTTCCGTCTATAATTTCGTCTCATTTATTTCTTGGTCGCTTAAATGTTTCGATGTCGCGAGCCATTAACAGAAAATCGCACGTCTCGCTCTAATGAATCTCTGCAAATGCCTCGCAACGTAACGCTCTTCTTGTCACATTATACGGGGGAGAATAGCGATTAAATATGTTCACAGCAGAGAGCTCTCGTTACAGTGAATCTTTGCGTTATTACTCGACAATTTTGCGCATTCAGATCAATTTGTTTCGAACAGAAATCGTGTACAACATTTAGATTTTATTATCAAAATTCCGACGACGTATGTCTTCAAGAAACTGAAATAGAATCTGGCGCAAACACATAGTTGCTCTCTTTTTTTTTTCTCACTTTTCGTTAGGTTCTTTTTGATAATCACCTCGAAAACATGCACGAAAACAAGAACTATCCTCGAATATCGCACTCTCTTCCCGGAGGATGATCTGTATCGAAAGAAATTTTTTCTTTTTTATTTCCGTTTTCCCTCTTTCTTTTAATTGATAAACACTGATGGAAAACGAATCGACTGCCACGAGTGTCACGTAATTTCAACTTGTTCCTCTCTCACACATTTACGATTTAATAAACTTTCATTATATACGCTATAAAGTCTACTGACAGAAAAATCTTATTTCATCGATATGTTATGTAAAATGTAATTGTTTCAATCGTTCATCGCGCAAGATAAGTCACTCTCTCGTATGATAATTTCGTTTTTAAAAGGCATGAAACCGAAATTACTGATATTGCTTGCATAATGTATGGACTTTCTTGCTGTATTTAAAATTATGAGTATATCCAGGCGAAAAGATTACTACTTAGAAAAAATGCATTCACTTAGGAAAGACATTTCGCATTTTATTTGAGAAAAAAAATGTTAATCGTATGGCGTGAAATGTTCTTTAATGCGTATCAATCACAATGCGTGGATGGTAGAACTGATGATGACGTATGGTAGAATTATCATACAACCATGATCCTCGTGTAGAAAAAATAGGCAGTGTAGATGTTAAAGAAACCATTCGACAATTAACACGCATTCAGATAGTTTAAACTCTGTACATATATTATTTTGATAATTCTTATTAATAACACTTTAATACTGCTCTATTCTTTCGTACGTTTTACAATACGCACACAACTCAAAATTAAAATTACAAGATCTATTTAACTAGATACAAAATCATACATCATAAATATTCCAAATATACGGGGTGTATCTTAAAAAGCTCCCAAGCAAATAGCGTTATTTCTGATTAAAAATCGAGTCGAAAAGTCCTGAACCATTTTTTTCCATAATGCTTAATAAAGGAGTAATTAATGAGTAAAGTCGCGCCAATAAAAAGACAAACTTCCTTGTTATCAATATATTTGGATAAGCAAAAAAATAAACTGTTTTGTGTTAATTTTTAAACAATTCATCTTTTCAGAAATCTTTTTATTATTTAAATCTGATTATTTAATGAATCTTGGAAAAAAAAATGGTTCAGGACTTTTCGACTCGGTTTTTAATCAGGAATAATTGCTATTTGCTTAGTACGAGCTTTTTAAGATACATCCCGTATATTAAATTATTTGTTGATAGATGGAATTAAAAAAGAAAAAAAATTCAAAATCAAAAGACTTAAAAATCAGACATGTACGAATTTTCGCTTGATATAGTGGATATATACATATTATACGCGTTCTCGTCATTCATAGAGACACGAAAGCGAGAACACTTATTATATTGGACATCTTAATTCCACACCTGAAACGCGATCGTCGTTTTTTCAGTTTCATGCCTTTCGGAGGATTATAATCAGACTTCGCGACAATCGAAATCTCTCAATTACAACAAATCCGTGATAACACGCTACGCTCGTTTATCCTGCAGGGTTGTAAAATGTACAATGAGATCTATAGGTAATTTCAATTCGTTATAGTTCGCAGTACATGTGCGATCGCCAAACGTGATCATCCATCGCACAGCGCGACGTTATTAAAAAGCATCCCCGTGATACAAGAAGAGAGTCGTAGGCACAAACAAAGTTCTCTCAACATCGGTACGTCAATTCCTTTTTACTTCTATATGATTCTCCGTTTCATTGGTTCACCGGTTTCGATGACCGGCCGACGACGACCATTTTCAGTCAACAGTGACATGTCAATATGCCGATGACATTGATAGCAATGTAATTGATAAACGCGAGTGCGGACAATAGGAATGATAATGATGATGAAGATGGAAACGATGATGTGGCTAACGATGATGAATGAGGACGAGGAATACGATCGATATAATAATTAGAAATTAATAATAATAATAATAATAATGAAATAAAATAATATATAATAATGAAGAATAATCATTATAATATAATAATCATAGTGCTAATAGTAGTAATAGTAGCAGTAGTAAGTAGTAATAGTAGTGGGCAGCAACAAGATGAAATGTAATCATGACAATAGTAGCAATAATAATAGCGCGAGGTCACTTTTCTTGGCTAAACGAGAGGATTTATTCAGTAAGTAGGTAAGTGGATTCGCCAACGTCTCTTGACTTCTATCAGTGGCTCAAGGCCACTAGGAATATATTCATCGACTTATTTGTGACGATAAGAGGAGAAAAAAAAAAAAGAATCAAACGAAACATACACGCAAGATGCATGCGACATGCATCGAGAAAGATAGATACGGAAGCTAGAGACGTGAATGTGTCTTTGATTTTACTTTACTGAAAATTTCAAATGGGTCTAATCATCCAGCTATCGAGTTGATCGGCTCGAGAAGCAAGAGGGTCAGTCATATCTCGCTGGATAAATATGTAAAAATTCGTTTCAACCAATTGTATATTTTACGAATTTTCACACTGCAACATTACGAGAAAGAAAAAAAAAAAAATACAAAGAAAAGTGCATTTCATCTCATCAATTATTGGTCTCATTAATTGGAGATCAATAATTAAATTCTCTCTAAAAAAAAATTCCACATTTCCGCGCGTCACAGAATACACTTTGTCCAACCGTTCAGATGTATTCTGTACTCCCATACAAGTGTGCGTACAACGTGCAAAACAAATAAAAGACCTATCGAAGTTTTCGCGTTTCCCTTACGATGGTTGCAAACTAAAAATCAATTCTAATCAACTAATCGCAGGTCGGAATCATGAGAGCGAGTCATTAGCGAGTCCGCCTATTTATCGAAGAGATCGCAGCTCGATTGGCCAGAGAAAAGGCAGCTCCTTCGTTCTCCCGAGTCGCAAAAACCATCCAATCAACATGACGATAGAAATGTAATAGATGGTACGATGATGGTGGTGAGAAATACGATGACGATGATGGCGGTCGTTCAGTTGGACAGCGGCGGCGGCGTCGGCGTCGGCGTCATCGTGACGGTCGTGTGCAGCACCGAGTCCCTTGACGCTGATCGGCTACCGATGCGCAGCAGAGTGACGGCCTCTCTCTCGGGATCGGCGCTGCTGGCAGTATCGGCTGCTGCTGCGCTCATCATCCCCGCGGCCGCGCCGCGTTTCCCCGTCCTCGACGTCGTGGAGACGGCGACGACCCCTCCGGCGGACCCATCGGCACTATTACCCGCGCACTGCACCGCCCCCCCGAGACCAACGGTAACGGACAGTCATTTCTGCCTTCCACTTTTCTTCTTCTTGCGCTTGAAGAAGCAACAGCATCTGGAAATGAAGCAAACACTAATAGGACTTAGAGTCGTCCCTCTTTGGCAGCGTCTCTCGTTAAGTCAACACACCGAGCATGCATGGACCCGTGTATACCCATACAACACAGAAGCTTGCATCAACATTAACTGCAATGTTAGCAGTGTAATGCTGCAGAAATATTGCAGGGACATTATTTTGTAATATTACTTTGGCAATGTTGCAGCAACATTTTAACATAGCGACAATTTATAACATGTGTTTCTTTACTTGCCAATATGTGGCGACATCAAGCTTAACTAACTCGTATTCGAATTTTCATCTAAAGTGGATATAAGGCTTACAAAAGACTAATCCCATACAGTACAGAACATTGCAGCAATATTGTAGCAACATTGTAATATTGCTGCAATATTCTGTTGCAGCAATATTACAATATTGCTGCAATATTGCTGCAATGTTCTGTGCTGTATGGGATGTAGTAATTATATTTCTTGTCTTGTGTCAGTTAAATTTCTGATAAACTGATTTGATTTATTTAATATTCTGAATCCTAATAAGAGATCTAGATTATTAAATAAATAATTTGTTTAATAATCTGGATCCCTCGTTGGGATTCAGAATATTAAACAGATTTTTCTTTATTGAACGGATAAATGGGATGATTCATTTATTGCACGTATTAAAATATTTTGGTACCGAGTGTATGTAAAATAATTGTATGTATATTACTGAGATAAATAATATTAAATTATATTAAATTATATTAAATTATATTAATTATATTTAATTATATTAAATTATATTTAATAAGACACATTTGATAAAAAACACTAATAGATGTTTTTTTTTCAAAAACGGTAAATGTTTTTTTTCTATCTTTCTTAAACATTTCTTTATATTTTCAAGGTTTATTTATTAAATTTAAAACGGTCTACATTTGTAGCAAAATGCGTTTTAATATTGCAAATATATTGCTGCAAGATTGTAGTAATGTTGCAGAGACATTTCGCAACTTCTATGCAATATTACAATGTTTCAATGTTAGGTCTATGCAACGTTTTTGCAATTTTTCGGTGCTGTATGGGTAATAATAGACAGAGAGTTGAGAGAAAAGGAAATTAAATCTTCCAGAGATATTCTATATTTAATTTAATATATGAACATTGATTGTCAATTTATCATGCAATTTATTAATTTTGTTATTTAATTTGAGTGTTTTAAAATTCATTTTTATATGAAATGATGAAGGAGAGAAGAAAATGAAACGAGGAATGATAAAATGTATGGGATAAATGACACACACTTAATTACAATGAGAGTTGATGGAGAAAAAAAATTTATCAATCTTCCAAAGACAATTCCTTATCCAACAGACATTAGTGTTACAGAGACACATACATGTCAATTAATCATGCAGCTTGTTAATCTTGTTTACGCAGTTAATTTAAATATTTTAAAATTCATTCTAATAATGATGAGAGGAGAGAAAAATGGAAGAGATAGAACATATAGGATAGATGAAAATAATACATACAACATTTAATGTTACCAAATGTATCAAAAAAATACATAGTTTTAATATTAATACAATATAACAACGAACGGGAAGGTTGCAATTTGTTTCGATCAAATGTAAATAAATCAATATAATCAATGGCCTTTTCGATATATAATAAAAATGGTCCTGTCGATATATAATAAATTATATAACAGCGCTTTGATCAACAGAAATTTTTCACAAAATTTAAATTGTTAATTGTGTAACAAATTAAATTTTTAAATTGTATAACAAAAATATAATATTTTTACTGACTTAAAAAAATGCTTATATGTATATTTTATTTCACGATATGTTTTTTAGTGATATGTAATTATCTGTATTAATGAATCAAAGCTTGTCTATTAAATCTCATGAAAGCTGTAAACGCGATTTACTAGAAATGTCAAACGAAACGCAAATGCTACGAATATATACGAAATACTACATATATATATATATATATATATATATATATATATATATACACACAACATTATAAATATATTACAGAATAATAACCGCAATATTAAACAATATTCTAAACAGCATTACATCAAAGGTATATTTGATTGTCTTATTTTGCAATTTTATATTTCATATCATTCACGGCATACTTTACTAGTCTAATAATAAAATTTTCATAATAAATATCTATTGAAATATTCAATGAATACGATATTTTCTTCTTATATTGCGAAACAGAAAATCTTGAATCGACCAGTTGAATTGGTGCAACAAACCTAGTTCGGGAATTAGGGTGGGATAGGTGTTGGAAATGTGCGCTTGAAAAGATCGGAACATAAACTTTCCACACCGGGAACAATGTTTCCATTTTAATCGAGTTACTTGTCTGTGAAAATAATACACATGCACAATATGAGAATCGGCTTCTTTAAAATATCTCTATACAATTTATACATGTGTAAGCGCATCTTTTCTCTCTTAATTCGTATTTCAATACGTTGCAAAATTTCTACTAGATCTCTTTCTCGGTGCACAAATAAATTGTAATAAAATATATTCTAGTAAATAAATAAATTGTAATAAAATTTAAAAGAATTGCACATACACATATATAAAATAAAATATGTATATGTATGGGTGGAATCTATTAAATTGCATATTTTTATCTATTTCATAAATTTGGAGCAACAGATAGAAAAAGACGAATTGTGATGAAACAAACTGCTACTAACTTGGTTTCGTCGATCATGTCCACTTCCTGAGGTGCTGTGATTGGTGTATTGGAGTGACCAGCGGTCGGATCATCATTGGCTAGCTCTCCATTAGTCGACGACACCACCTGCGTACAACGTTCCACAGCGTTATTGCAAATCAATATGAAAATAAATATGCGGGTTTCAACATTAAAGGTTTCGACAGATTTATCTAGACGGATATATTATATTTTCCAATATTGTTGGACGTGAAAATTAGGGAAGTACTTGTTTTTGTACTACTTATTGGGTTTTCCAAAAGAGAAAACTACGCAGGAGTAGTTACATAAAAAAAAAAAAAAATCAGTTTATCCAAAAAAGTCTACCTTTGCACACAAGTTACATAAAGATTCAAGTAAGATCTTACAAGAGGGTGAGAATTTAATGTAAAAGGAAAAAAGAAAGACTATCATTGAAATACATAGGACCCATGAAGCAATATTGTAAATTAAAAAAGAAGGCATGTGTATAAGTGACAAACTCTTATCTTTCTCAAGTCATACGTGACGATGACGCTTTTGTTATTGCAAGTGCAGGGAAGAGACGAGTGATCGTACTATAATACCGGATTAGTATTTCATGTCCAATCAAAGAAAGAAAGTAAAAGTATATCTCGACACAACATGCTGCAACAAGTCAAATTGCACAGACTTCTAACTGACCATAATCCAGTGGTGCTTTGTCTAGAAATAGAGCGAACAGTTTACACTCTCTTATAAAGATTGAGGCATCACGTATACGACGACGTTTATGAGAATGAGAGACAAGAAAGATGACAGAATTAGGAGAAGGTAATGTAAATAATAATTTATCATTAAAAGTTTACTTTGTCGGCTTTTGAATTTTTTAATTAATTTTTTTCTTTTTCCAGAATCCAGAAGAGAAATATATAAAAGATTACGAAGTGCAATATGCCATTTGAACATCCCAAGAATCATGTTTTTTTTTTCACTTCTTCCTTCGTAAGTGACTCGATTGTAAACGAAAAAACGAGAAAAGCTGCAAAGAAAGTTGAAAAGGAAGGAGAAGCTCTTGGGAAATTAAGAGACGGAATGACACGAGAGAGAAGGATGGAAGATGCGCAGGTAAACTCACCTGTACAGAGCCGTGCCTGTCAGCAGGTGTCAATGTACCACCGGCTCCTGATTGCTTCACAGTATCTGGCCACGTGGCTCCCACCCCCTTACCGCCCCCACCTCCCACCCCTCCACCTGCGAATTCCTGAAGGAACAAGCATGAATTTCGTTGCGTCGCGTTATATGAACAATTCCGAGGGATTCAAAGGACAGTAGAAGAGAAAGAAGGTATCGAGAAACATTTGACAGAAGTTTTCTTCGAGGGTGATTTGTGGCGAAATAAATCGAAATCCGCGCACGCGTAGTCGAGAGAATTAATAATAAGAAACCTAATCCGATATTAATTTCTACAGGGTGTCTTAAATTTAATTATCAAAAGTTTCGATTTAATTATCAAAAGATCGATAAACCAAAAAAAGTACTTTACGAGATTTACTTGTTTTTGCTTTGTGTTGGAGAAAATTGCAAAAGGGATTTTTATTTTTTTCATTTATTTATTCGTGTCATTTTGCTTAATAAAGTTTAAAATTTAAATGTATAATCATAAACAAACGGGAATAAATGGAATATAATCTCCCGCATATTTATTTACAATCCTTTAATATTACTTCAGGAAGATTTTAATTCCATTCAATTTTTATCTCACTAATACTTTTTGATAAACCTAATAATTTTAATATTGTTTTACATTTTTTGATAAGAACTTTTTTTGTCGATTTTCTCTAAATCGAAGCAAAAATGAGCAAATCTCTAGAACCTTATTTTTCGTTTACCGATCCCACATACATTCTTAAAATATTGATACTTAAATTTGGGATACCCTATATATTAGGGAGATGAATATATGGTTCGCTGCTCGAGAATAAATCAAGAATTACCTACGACTTCTATATTTTAAATGTATTATTTTATGTACTTTATTTGGATACACTATGAAAAGAAACTTTCTGGCTCCAACTAGTTTTGTAAGCAAGGGCAAAAATACTAAAATATAACTGAGCCAAAATTACTTCTTCGTGCATGAGTTGTCATCGCAGATTCAAAATCAAACGTTAATCACTTTATGGTTTGTTATCTAATGATTCTAATAACGATTCTAAAATATGTATTGCTATCGATTCCCGTTTATCTCGACTATACTTATTTATCAATTAATTATTTATTGCATTCGAGTTGGCAGAATATGCTTCACGATCGTCAAGCCTGTGCGACCTTGTTTTACGGACAGAAAAACATCAATAACACGCAATTATAAGACGCGGATATCTTTCCAACTATATATTGTAGTATCTCCCCTCTACTGATAAGATAAAGCATGCATGAAGAAGTTCAATTCTTGGAGCGCAACCCAAAGATTGGCTTACATATTGGCCTTGCAATTCGAAGCGAACCTCATCCATCATGAGGACTACATCCTCCTCAAAATCATCGTACTCCTATAAATTGATGCCCGTTGGATTCGTGCAGAGAGAAACGATATAATGTACATAATTGCTTTATAATACTGCTCTCTCTCTTCCCGAGATTTAGCCATTCAACATCGTTAAAAAAAATGCAGAATCATTTAAAATTATTCATCCCATTGGAATGATTCGTCTCCGCGAGATAAACAGTCTGAATCAAGGTCGTTGTTAAAATTCTGTCTTTGATCTTTTCGCTAATGAGGCGTGTATCCATGCGGTTAACTCGAATAACAAATAGATATAGGTCCATGCTTTGGTTTTTTTCTCTTCGTGTTTTAAAAGAGAGAGAGAAAAGAAACGCGAAGGAAACGTAAGCAATACCTTAAAAGCTGAGGGATGCCGGTCACGATTTGGCGATACAACGATCTCCTGGCCGGTTTGAAGGGATCCGACAGGCGTGGACTGTAATAAAAAAGAGAAGACGGTTACTTTATACACGTATATGTTTCCGGACGAAAGTCTGATGAACGAAAACGATGTTATTGCGTACAGTTTCTACCTCACATTGTACATAGATAACATACTTGAGGCTCTGCAAAACGGACAGACAGACTTATTGACGGACTGTGCACTTTAATTTACGCTTAACAGAAGATCTGTGACATCATAATGCGTTAGATATCTATTTAAATAAAACCAATCGGCTGTGAAAGCTCTCTTTCTCTCCCCTCTCTCTCTCATTCTCTCTCTCTGTCTCTAATAACGATCAATTACTTTATTATAATAAGGAATCGACATATACGGGGTGTCTCAATTTAATCGATCACCTCGAATAACTTTTTTAATTTTGATTGTAGAAAAAAATGTTTCAGACAAAAGTTGTATGGCTTGGAGGGGGACATAAGATGGTGTCATTAATTTGACATTGAAGAGTCACCTGAAGATCACGTGAAGATCACATCCAACTTTTTAAATAAGACATCCTATATGCTTTTGCATTTTCTTATAGTTCATCTCGAGAGCTTTCCAAAATACTATAATTAAGTTAGTTTTCATTAAGTACTTTCCGAGTTATGAGGCTTGAAATAATTTCTTAATTTTACATAAACCGTAAAATATCTAGTAAAATATTCATTTCTCGATTATCTTAGCTTAATATTTTTACGTACAAAATAATGAGAGAAATCAATTGGTGTAAAGAAAACACACCATTGTTTTTAGAAAGAAGAAAAAATATGTAATTGTTAATTGCAAATTACATATTTTTTCTTCGAGGTGTCACTTCAGGTGACTCTTCAATGTCAAACTAATGACACCATCTTATGTCCCCCTTCAAGCCATACAACTTTTGTCTGAAACATTTTTTCTACAATCAAAATTAAAAGTTATTCGGGGTGATCGATTAAAATGAGATCCTGTATACAGAGTGTCCCAGACTTGACGAATCAGCCGTTAATGGTAGATTCCTGAAATCATTGGGAGACGAAAATTCTAATACCAAAATGTTGAGGAAGATGTCATAAAAATGTCTAAACTATTGACTAGTGTCGCAAAAACACAATCACACTCACTACAGAATCCTATTTTTTATTTTATATGCATCTCTCTGTCGAATCGATATTATCGCGTACAATAATAAATGTCGCGTGCAATAATAAAATAAAATATAAAATAAAAAATAGAGCCCCTTGATGTGCTATATCCTTGAGCATAGGAGAATGTAACACGCTGATTGGTAATCTTTAATCCTTTGTAGCGCCGAAACTACATCTTCCTCAACATTTTGATATTAAGATTTTCGTTCTCAAATGATCTCAGGAATCTACCATTAACGGCTGATTCATTAAGTCTGGGACACTCTGTATATGAATAAATGTAAAATACGTATAAGAAAATATAAAAATAAAAAATATATGTATAAAATAGAATGATATTATATTGCAACATATAAGCGATTGCAAATAAGCGATTGTATTGCAACATATGGAAATATAAAGCGAATTATTTAGGGAATTATTTAGGGTTGCAATTATTTGGCGAGAGACGTTAATCAAGCCATCACCAACCTTATCAGATTTGGTTCTACCAATGTGTGAGGGGGCCGCCATCCGCAATGCTCTCAGTTGTTCAAAGTTGTATGGCTAGAGATAGTACATTGAGGGGGAGGGCAGCATGCAAATCAGTTAAGAATCAGATGTGAAACTGCTCGCCGGTAGTGTGTTGCTCTTTATCGCGGGTCTGTCAAAACATTCGGGACGAGTCACTTACCCAATTGGAGTTATCGGAGCTTTCTCCAATAAATCGTCAATTTCGAAAAATAACAATTATACAGGGTGGCCCTGAACGTTCCAGCCAGACTTTGAGATCTTAGAGGAAATTTAATTCTGAACAAAAAATTTCCTATAAACATGGGTCGAAAAACACTTCCTTAAGAAGTTATCGCTCAAAAACCTCTGATGAAGGAAAAGCAAAAGGTGAAAAGAAAATGAAATAAAAAGAAAACAAAACTAAATAAATTTCTTGAAAAAAACGATAAAAATAAAAAATAAAAATCTTTTTCTTTTATGAAAATAAAATAAAAGTTAATTAAAAAAAAATTATTTTATTTTCATAAAAGAAAAAGATTTTTATTTTTTATTTTTATCGTTTTATTTCAAGAAATTTATTTAGCTTCATTTTCTTTTTATTTCATTTTCTTTTCACCTTTTGCTGTTCCTTTATCAGAGATTTTTGAGCGATAACTTCTTAAGGAAGTATTTTTCGATCCATGTTTATAGTATTATAAATTTTTTGTTCAGAATTAAATTTCCTATAAGATTTCAAAGTCTGGCTGGAACGTTCGGGGTCACTCTGTATAATCAATAAGGAAACGAGCCAATAAAAAATTTATAGAAATTCAATTTAGAAATTAAAAAGTAATTTGCAGAAAGAAACATTGATTGAATAAGAAAAAGGACTATTGTAAAAGTGCTCGAACATATTAATGATATCACAAAAGATAAAAATGTGTATGTACGATATTCGTTTCAAAGATTAAAATAATATTTTAACGAGATTCTGCAATTACGTAAGATTAATCACACAAACAAATATGACGATAAACATGATACAAGTTTCATTTTTTTTTTTTTATTAAGAAGAAAATATGATCGATAACGCGCCACAAGATCACAGTTATCGATTCATGGTCTGTTATTGGGGCTGCGACTATTATCCCTCCCTGACATAACAAACAAGTTAACATGCATTCATTGACGTCACTATTTTTCCAGCGTACAAAATAAAAGCGATGCGCAAACGTGACATTCGCCCAAGTTTTTTATACAACATTGATCTCCCGTGAAAAGGGTGAAGATTGGGATCAGTCGACACGTACCATCGTCTTGCCGGTCCAGTCGAATTCGCCGTCATTAACGAAACCGCGTCTCTCGTACAGGTCGTGGAAGAGCTTCCTCAAGTACTCGTAATCCGGCGTTTCGAAAAAGTCCAGCCTGCGTACGTAGCGAAGATACGTGGCCATTTCCTCGGGATGACCGTCGCAGAGCACCTCGATTGGCGTCGCTCGTTTCGTGTCCCCGATCTTCTGGTAACGCTCCTTCAGCGTATCGGCCTTCAACCCTTGCCAGGGTAAGCTGCCGCGCAGGAAGTACATGAACATGTGACCCAACGCCTCCAGGTCGTCTCTTCTGCTTTGCTCTGTTCGTCATAATTGCATCGCGAAACGTTACATATTTTTCGACTATGAACAATTTCAGTATACACGTGACATGTGTCCCGCGTTATAAATCAGAAAATAAATTCTAGAGAGTCTTCTGGAATTTGTAAAAATGTTATATTACATGTGTGATTAATTTAAAGTAGTTTGATTAAATTTTTGCTAATGGGTTTTTGCCATAGGTTCTATAATTCTCTCTTTAAAAATAAATTTATTAAAAATTTAAATGACTTTACAAAAAATTTATGTCAGTCACATTAAGAGAGTTTATTTAAATTTTGAAAAAAAGAATTCTCTGATCTTTTGAATCCTTTTATTTATTTCAGGTAAAATTAGAGAATTTTTAGATAAAACTTTATAAAATATTTTTTTTATTTTATGTATTTTTAAAGCTTTTTTTATATATATGAAGGGAAAATAAAATTTAAATTTCAAATGTTATATTTGAAAGTGTTTTGAAAAGAACTGAATGGCTTTTATAAAATAAACGTTTTTCATTTACACATTTTATATTAATTTTATATTATATTATTTTATTAAATTACAATGAATAGTATATTCAATATTTTGCTACGATATTTAATATATAAACAAAGATATATATATATATTTTTTAAACACCTATAATTCTAACTGCTTGCAAAATTATCAAAGAGAGAATTTTTGGAAAGGAAAAGTCCTCGAATCTCGATAAAACTCCATAAAAACTCCTTAAGGATGTTTTGTATATACAATCCCAGTAAAAAGTAGCTGAAAATCAATATTGACGAATATATCCACTTTTGGTGTATTTTGAGTAACGAATTGTGTGAAATATTACAATTTGATCTTAGCTATAATGCAGAGATGTATTTTTTAATATTTATTGCGTTTTTACTGAAATATTTCGAATTTTGTTAATCGAAATGATTAACTTTTGGCAGAGAATTTCGCCTTGTGATAGGTACATGGCTAACTTCATTGAATTATATTTAATATCTTTTTAACCAGTTAGCACTTGTATAATATTATTTGACAAAATATTTCCTCTGTATCTAAACTTTCGCAAATTTTAAACAAATTCTGAATATTATTTCCATGTGTTTTTGTCATTTGAATCGACGTGATTATACGTTTCCCATAAGAACACATGTTAATTCGGTGCAAATTAAAATCCTTACAACTCGTGAACGCTTTAGTGAATCGATTGAAAAATTGTACCGAAGATTCTAAACACATGTACGGACATTCCGTACAATTTTCATTAAATTCTTAATATTTTGAAAATAGGTACATCCTTAAGAATGTTTTGTAAATACAATTACTATTTTCAAAATATTGAGAATTTAATATATTAATACATACGAAAAATAGATTTTAAATGTTTTAAAAATACATACGAAAAAATTTAATTTAATACGTTTCCCATAAGAACACATGTTAATTCGGTGCAAATTAAAATCCTTACAACTCGTGAACGCTTTAGTGAATCGATTGAAAAATTGTACCGAAGATTCTAAACATATGTAAGGACATTCTGTAAAATTGTCATTAAATTCTCAATATTTTGAAAATAGGTACAAAACATCCTTAATATTTTTCTAGATAAAAAAATCCCTGAGAATTCCAAGTTTTTCAGATGTTTTTCCAGGAAGTAGACACATTTTAGCATTAATTTATACCAGCATGATATCTACTGAGAATGTAACAGTTCCAACACTCGCCGCACTTTCTCGCGAGCCACCACGCGTAGTGATGGTTTAGCGTGTGGCGATTTGTCATGCACCGCATACGCAGATATACACACACATATATACACGAAGAAACAAAAGTAAACGTCCGTTACCTTTGCCAAGATGCGTGTTAATGCTCATGTAACGCGCCGTGCCGGTGAGACTCTTGTGTTCCCGATACGGTATATGCTTGTTCGTCTCCAGGTCTATGTACTCTTTGGCTAGTCCAAAATCGATTATGTGAATAATCTTTTCCCGCTTGGTAGTGGATCGTCCTATCAGAAAATTTTCCGGCTTGATGTCGCGGTATATCAAATGCCGACTATGAACGTATTCTATCCTATGGAGCTGAAAAAAAAAATAACGATTACTTGTACACGAAGGCCAATCTGTTTCACCAACGAGACCAGAGATCTACCCGGTGCAATTTATCACTACGACAATTTGTAACTTTATTTCTTCTCTCTCAAACACTTTTTATTAACTAATTTGTAAAAAACGTCGTAAGATTTCAAACAAACCCCTCAAACAGTTTCCATGTGAGCAAAGGAAAATTTGAAGAGAAATGGCAGACGATTAAAGTTTGCGGGACTCGTTGAACCATCCGACGTGTTTGAGGTCGACTTTCGAAGTGCGGCGTTTGACGGTCAGTTTTGCCGGCCTAAAGTGTGTTATAGTAATGCGACTTACGAGTTGTGTGGCAATGTTGAGAACGGTCTTGAGGGTGAACCTCCTCCCGCAGAGATCGAAAAGGTCCTCGAGGCTCGGTCCGAGCAGCTCCATCACCAGGGCGTTGTACTTCCCGCACGGGCCGAAGTAGTACACCTCCGGTATACCCTCTATATGTGTGTTATGAACTATACCGATCACAAAAGTGGATCACACCCCAGATCGCCCCCAATAAATACAATATTATACTGATGAACGCAACACGCAACGAAACACAAAACGAGAACAACTGTATTTGCAATTCTTCGACGATAAAAGATCTCGTTAACAAAAACATGTACATACTCGAGGATATTTGCAAGATTAATTCATCCTCGTGAATATACAGGATCAACCCGTATTTTTGCATTAACGTGAGTTGTGATATTTTATCAAGTAGCTCACACAAAGTTTGAATTTAATATAATGTGTTTAATATATTTGAATTTAATATATTTAATATATTTAATATATTTTCAAATTGAAATATGTAATAATTCTTTAGACAGATAATTCAAATATCTTTTTTATAAATTATTAATTAAAAAGAAAATAAATAATTGAAAATAATATTAAATCGGTGAGAAATATCACAAAACGAACACAACTGTATTTGCAATTCTGCAACGACAAAAGATCTCGTTAACAAAAACATGTACATGCTCAAGGATATTTGCAAGATTAATTCATCCTCGTGAATATACAGGATGAACCCGTATGTTGCGTGAATTGTGATATTTTATCAAGTAGCTCACACAAAGTTCGAATTTAGTATAATGTATTTAATATATTTGAATTTAATATATTTAATATATTTTCAAATTGAAATATGTAATAATTTTTTAGACAGATAATTCGAATATCTTTTTTATAAATTATTAATTAAAAAGAAAATAAATAATTGAAAATAATATTAAATCGGTGAGAAATATCACAAAACGAACACAATAGTATTTGCAATTCTGCAACGGCGAAAGATCTCGTCAACAAAAACATGTACATGCTCGAGGATATTTGCAAGATTAATTCATCCTCGTGAATATACAGGATGAACCCATATTTTTGCATTAACGTGAATTGTGATATTTTATCAAGTAGTTCACACAAAATTTGAATTTAATATAATGTTATATTTTCAAATTGTAATGATTCTTTAGACAGATAATTCGAGTATCTTTTTTATAAATTAAAAAGTAAATAAATAACTGAAAATAATATTAAATCGGTGAGAAATATCGTTCATTAAAATTGAAAATTGTAAAATTTTGATAAATGATGACCTCGATATATTCGATGATTATTTCGAGATTTATACAGGGTGTCAGGGGAATCTCTTCCCAAAAAAAACTCTCGTAACTTACCTCGAGAGCTTTTCAAAACATTATAAAGTATTTTTTCATTGAATATTTTTCGAGTTATGAAGCTTGAAATAATCTCTTAATTTTACATAAATCATAAAATATCTAGTAAAATATTCATTTTTCCATTATCTTAATTTGCAATTAACAATTACATTTTTTTTTGAAATAATCATGTATTTTCTTTACACCAATTGATTCCTCGCATTATTTTGTACATAAAAGTATTAAGATAATTGAAAAATGAATATTTTATGGTTTATGTAAAAATTAACAAATTATTTCAAGCCTCATAACTTGAAAAGTATTCGATGAAAAAATACCTTATTATAGTGTTTTGAAAAGCTCTCGAGGTAAGCTATAAGAGCTTTTTTTGGGAAGAGATTATCCTGATACCCAGAGATAAGATTTTATAAGATTTTGCTGACTTAAATCGTTGCAATAAATTATCAACGAGATTTTTTTTTTCGAATCTTTCCATCAATTAAAAAGTTTGACATCAAAGTATCGAGGCAGTTATGTTATCGATTTATCTTGCATGCGTCGTAGAATTAATAATCTACCACTTCTCTATAAATATCTTTAAAAAATACGTATATATATATATATATATATATATATATATATATATATGCATATAATTTTAGTTTCTCCTAATTTGATATTTGGATATGGTTTCAAATCTTGCTTTAATATATTTATAGATCCTCTCGTCCGATTTCTTTAATCTCGCCATACATTCAAGTAGCGTAATAGCATAAAAGTGACACTCACCATGTGTACCTAATAATTTGTAAAACCTATATTCTAAATGTAGCTGTGGTGCCTTTGACTTCATTGGTTCCTGCAGCAAAACGAAGGACCCGTTAGCGGAAATTCATCACGTCTTTTTTCTTTTTACCAAGAATGTTGCAATTACATAAAATACCTGTGGCTTTCACTCACCATTTTAATTGCTACGTGCTCATTATTGTACAGGTTCTTCCCTGGAAAGAGAAAGAAAGATGGGTAAGTGTGAGAATGTTGGCGTGAAAAAAAAAAAAAAAAAAATACAGAACAAGGATACAATCAAGGATACAATGCTGAGGAATTTTGATGGGCAATGTCGGGTCGTTGCGTGTCGCAAAAACCTCTAGGTAACCTGGACATAACGCCCTTTCCTCCAAAAACTGATTCGAATTCGCGTACAATGGCACGTGATGTATCATGGATATTGCGCCTCGATGACAATATGATTGCGCGATAATTAAATGTCGTGCGATGGCCCGCGCTTGCTACTGATTGCAGTCAACGTGAGAAAATTAGATTGCTGCGGCACACCGTAGAATTATGGTCGTTGGTCGTTAAACGCTTGTGCAAACTTATCGGGCATGTCCCATTTAATATAATAGCGTGAAATAAAAATAATTAATCCGATCATATACATTGCTTCGATATCGAAGTGCGATAAAATATTGATGGCGAGATTACTGCGAAACATTTACATCAAGGCTTTCTCCTCCTCTTAAAGTCAATTAACAATTAACAATTTATTATTTTTAATTAACAATTAATAATTCGTTCTCTCTGGAAAATAATACGTGTGTATTTGTGATTTTTTTTAGCAGTTTTATAGCAACAATTTAATGTTATAAATTGAATTAATTTAACGCAAAGATTCTTATATTCTGTAAAATGTAAGATGCGCTGTTTATTATATTGGATTTATGATATTTTCTGTATTTTCCAGAGAGAAGAGAATCTTGAAAATTGTTAGTGTATCGATATTTATATATTTAAAAATTTTAAAGGCACAGAAAAATTTCTATTTGATCAGCACTTATAAATTTATAAATTGTAAATAATAATATATAATATATTTATAAATATATATATATATATATATATGTATATATTTATAAATATATTATTTTATTTATTATTATAAATATATATATTTATATTGATATAGTGATAATAAAGTATTCTTTTCTGGAAAGTACAGAAAGATATAATGTCATAAGTTCAATATTACAGGACGTATCTTACATTTATATAAGAATAGATAAAATGATATTTTTATGTCAAGTAACTGTCGCTAAAACTGCTTAAAAATCATAAATCTTGAATAAGGCATTTTAAATATTAATAAAAACGGACAGATACGATATAATATATCTCTCTGTTTTTTTTTAGTCCAGTAACGATAAAAATAACAAAGAAATAAAAATATGGAGAATTTTCCACTCTCTTTATTACAGGAAATTTTGAATATTTTGAAAGAGTTTCTGAATATTTATGACAAATCATGTCCAATATTTAACACTAAATGTAATTTTGTCAACACACGCTATAAATATATGCACAAATATATGTCTCATAATTACACGTGACTTATGGAGAGTTGACGGAGCAACCGGTTTCGCTGGATATTACAGAAGCCGCAAAAACCTAAGGCGCAAAATTCAATTTTGCAAGAGTTCAATTTTGTCTGCAAAGGCTTCATCGCGATTTGTTGCGAATCTAATAAATGTAACGCTTGTGCACTTTCTCATTTCACAAATAAAGATATAAGTATCGAAAAAATAACGTGTTGTAGAATTACTGTATATAATATTATTCAAAGCCTAGAATAATAAAATTGAAATATAAAGATACAGCAAAAATAAGAAAATAAAAAAAATGTGAAATAAAGATGACAGAGTTGCACGAATCTTGTTTTCTATAATAATATAATTTTTAGAATTTTCCCCTACTTTTCCAATCTTGCAATTTACTTGCAAGAATCGAAAATGTCATTACTCTCATTTCATAAATAAAAATACAAGTATCAAAAAAATAACGTGTCGTAGAATTGCTGTATACAATATTATTGAAAGCCTAGAATAATAAAATTGAAATATAAAGATACAGCAAAAATAAGAAAATAAAAAAAATGTGAAATAAAGATGACAGAGTTGTACGAATCTTGTTTTCAATAATAATATAATTTTTAGAATTTTCCCCTACTTTTCCAATCTTACAATTTACCTGCAAGAATCGAAAATGTTATTGCTCTCATTTCACAAATAAAAATATAAGTATCAAAAAAATAACGTGTTGTAGAATTGCCGTATACAATATTATTCAAAGACTAGAATAATAAAATTGAAATATAAAGATATAGTAAAAAAAAGAAAATATAAAAAAAAATATCGAAAAAATAACGTGTTGTAAAATTGCTCTATACAAAATTATTCAAAGACTAGAATAATAAAATTGAAATATAAAGATACAGCAAAAATAAGAAAATATAAAAAAATGTGAAATAAAGATGACGGAGTTGCACGAATCTTGTTTTCTAAATAATAATATAATTTTCAGAATTTTCCCCTACTTTTCCAATCTTACAATTTCCCTGCAAGAATCGAAAATGTCATTCATGAGAATAAAAATTAACGCGCGACACATACACATGCCATCACCATTTTAATAAATATGAGCGAACGCGTAATATCTTTTCCTTCGTAACCGCATCCGCGAATAATCATTTATCCAAATAACGCCGTAAACTGACGTGCGAGGATAATATCACGCGTCGTTGACGCTCCGCTCGATGTTCGCGTAAGAAAAATGAGGCACTCGTCGAGGCCCCTCGCGCTAGTCGCTCGACGAAGGCACATTCCTGCGGCCGCTCGTATGTGCATCTACCTGCGGAGACATAAAGGATGCGGGCCGGAACGCACGAACGCACGAACGAACGATCCAACCAACGGACGAACGAACGAAACTCTTCGCCAGAAGCGAAGGTCAATGACTCGCGCGCTCGAGCGCGCGTTCTGCAATTAGCGGTTCGATATCTTTCGCGCTAATTAGCGCGACGCCGCGGCTTCCTCGGCCTTCACATCTCGCTTCTGTCGTCCTGTCGTTGGCGCATCGTCAGATTATTTCGGATAAAGGCGGCCACGCCCTTGTGATATATAGGGCTGCCGCGCCGCCGACCCCGGCTTCCTCGACAGGAAATAGCAGCGATGACACCATCGACTACAGATATCGCGAGAATGTCAATAACGTTTGACCCCTGAACAATAATGCACCTTCCTCAATTTTTTTTATTAATGTCTTATGTCGTATGTATTTTAAAAAATTTTTTAAAATATTGTCTCGATGCTTCTTAGAACAAATTTGATCGGCATTAATAAGAATAGTAATAATAATATATGCATGATAATGATGTAAAGTCTTAATTAATATCTCATCTTGCAGTTGATCATATTAATGTCATTCCTTAATGTTTCATATATTTTTTTATTTTAAAAGTTTTAATATTATATTAAATTATTGAAACAGTATTATTTAAATATTAATTTTTAGACAAAATTTGAATTAATATATTTAATGATAATAGTAATAAATATGCGTATTAAGTGTAAAATCGTAATTAATTGCGACTATATAATTGCGAACATATTAATTTCATATATCATTCCCTGTCTCATATTTGTTTTAATAACGTTTGACCTCTGAACAATAGTGCATCTTCTTCAATTTTTTTATTAATGTCTTATGTCGTATGTATTTTTTCTAATTTTTAAAAATATTGTCTCGATGCTTCTTAGAACAAATTTGATTGGCATTAATAAGAATAGTAATAATAACATATGCATGATAATGATGTAAAATCTTAATTAATATCTCATTTTGCAGTTGATCATATTAATTTCATATGTCAATTGATCATATGTCATTCCTTAACGACGTTTCATATATTTTTTTATTTTAAAATTTTAAGTATTATATTAAATTGTTGAAACAGTATTATTTAACATTAATTTTTAGACAAAATTTGAATTAATATATTTAATGATAATAGTAATAAATATGCGTATTAATAGTGTAAAATCGTAATTAATTGCGACTATATAATTGCGAACATATTAATTTCATATACCATTCCCTGTCTCATATTTATTTTTATTTTTAATATTATTATAATATTATTTTAAATATTGTATTAATAATTTTTAGAAAAAATTTAAATCAAATGTATCTCAATAAAAATAGTAATAATAACATGCAGGCTAATATTGTAAGATCATAATTAATATCATTGCTCATCGTATTAATTTTACATGTCAATGTCTTATATATTTGTTTATTTTTAAATGTATTGTATTAATACTTTTTAGAAACTTTTTTTTAAACCAGCGTACCTTAATGATAATAATAATAATAATAATTACATACATGTTAATAATGTGAAATCATAATTAATATCGCTGCAACTCTCATCACATTAATTTCATATGTCATTTCCTAACGTCTCATATATTTCTTTTTTATTATAAAATATATTAATAATTTTTAGAAAAAAAATTGAATCGGTATATCTCAATGATAATAATAATAATATAATAGTATTCGTGGTAATAATTTAAAATCATAATTAATATCCTTGCAATTCTCATCATATTAATTTCATATGCCATTCTCTAATGGCTCATATTTTTTTTCTTTTTAAATAGCGCATTAATAATTCTTAGAAATAATTGTAACAGATGTGTCTCAATGATAATAGTAATAATATAATAGTATGCGTGGTAATAATGTAAAATCATAATTAATATCGTTGCAACTCTCATCATGTTAATTTCATATGCCCTTGTCACAATATAATCCTCTTTTTCTTCTTCTAATTTCATCAGCAATATGCGAGTTTTTTCCATTACTACATAAATTTTGCTATAAATAAAACCAATAATAAATGTCGTCAAGATATCATAAATATATCGATGCGTTTTAATGAATTAACAATTATTAATTTTTTCGAAAATCTTCATCAAACACTGCATTATATTTCTATTTTAAATGTTGAATCAATAATTTTCTTCCAAGTCTCCAAGTAATCTCATACAGGCAAACGTGTGCATGCCGCTAATGATAGCAATATCGATAAAATATACGTCATAATTGATGACATAAAATAATGATTGCATTTTTGCACGACACGTTTGAAGTGTTCGACTCA